CTGTGTAAAGAAGTGCTTCCTCAAATTTGTTTTAAAATGTTCTCCCGCTAATTTCCACTTACGGCCATGAGTTCTAGTATTTAAACTAATATTGAAATAGCCATTTGGCTGAATAGCATCCAGACCATAAAATATCTGTACTTTAGATTTCTGCTCCCTGCATGGATTACCTTACAGTTATCTGTGTTAAATTTCATCTGCCAAGTATCAGCCCAGTCTGTGACCTCAGGGCAATAGACCTACCAGGCGTTGGTCAGGCACGACGGAGGACAGACTCACCATTCCGTTTCTTGGTGTAAGCGCGGGGCGTCCAGGGATGGTGTCTGTAAGTGGGGTCAAGGGTGCGGAGTTTGCGTACATGCAGCTTGTACTCCCGTTCAAGGTCCTGGATACGCTTGTGGAACTCCGCAATCTTCCTTTCGGGGTAGTGGGACAGTTGGGATTGCTGAAGGACAAACCTCAGGTCATTGGGACTAGAAAAACAAAGGGTCATTGACTGTCTATCATTTCCAGATCTGGAACTGCAGGATTACAGGCCCAATATCTGAAATCTGCAGCCAGCCCGGTGAACATTCTGGATGCTCCTATTTTAGATCATGGTGGCTTGGAGCGTGGACGTGTGTCAGCCACCTCATGCTCTCTGCTTCATGGGACATGCTCCAACTCAAAAATACACACTCATTAGCGGCAGGAAAAGCAGACTGCAGCTGTCAAGCTACAGCAATGACAAAAACAATGCAAATAATTCATATGTCAGGAAAAAAAAAAACCCACCCAAATCTTAAAGGTACAATTCTCGCATTTACTTATGTAAAGCTATTAAAAAATCTCTGATATATTTGTATGTGTGGAAAAACTTACACGGGATACACAAAAGGCAAATTAAACCACTTCTAGTTCTAGTCGGGATTTCCAGATAAGGGCAAAAGAGAGTAGAGCAATAAGGACACCATGGAACATTAAAACCACCCGGAGTGCAACTAATCCTGGAAAAGCGGATGCGGGACAGTCTCGGCTCCGGGACGGAGCGCAACGTGACCCGGGGAATGCGGGGGATGAGGACCCAGACTTGGCTTTCGAATCCGTTTCTATTTCGGGTTATTTTGGTGTAAGTCGCATAACATCCGCTAGATGGCCACACACACTAAGAAATGAGAGGCCGGTGGCCGAAAGTGAGGTTTGCGTGACGATTGTTACACAGGCCTGCAGCCGCGCCGTGAAGCACTACTCATACCTGTAAGTAGTACTCCATCTCATTCTTTATGCTTGGGATCCACTTTTTCACAGATGCAGCAGTATTTAGGGAGGACTGTAATCAGGGGCATCCAGAAAAACAAACAATGTAACACGACCATATAATCCTTTCCGAAGGATATAGAAGTTAACAATACAAGTTAACTACACTCACCAGCTTAGGTCTATCTGGAACCTTAATTCGGCCTTCTGTTTAATACACAGAACAAATGCAATTCAGCGATAGGACCCTCCTGCCGGACAAACCGTCAGTGTGTATAGTTATGACATCTGCTTGCCTATAATAACTGTGAAAGCTAAATAATTATTGAAACCAATACATATGTGGATAACCATTAATTTAACTGTCCTTAGCAACGGATGACTTTTGCTTTGCAAAAAGGTCACCGGGGTCAGTACGTAAAGAGAGGCGTCAAAGAAACGCATATATGCACACCGAAAGTATGCTGTAGAAAGCAAATGGCAACATGAAGAGGCGAAATTCCATACATGTTACGATTTCTGTACGATTTCTGTACCCAAAAAGAGGACCCATGGTCACTATCATCGCATCATTCTATACGTTGCTCGTCGGTACATGTTGTTATTCTGTGTTTCTCTCTGACAGATAATATAATGCAGAAAATCCCCCAAACACGACGACGACACCCTCTTACCTTCTTTTTCCTTCTGGAGCCAAAGCCTGTTAAGTTTGCCGAACTGTTTCTCTTCGTTCCTGGCCATGATAAAATTACTAACAGCGGGCAGAGCACAACATCCGGTCATGTGACAAACACTGAGGGGAAACCGCCGAAGCAGAGATTCCTTGTCATGTGACATGCCTTTGCCCATATTTGGTAGAAAGGCCCTTTTTTTCTTAGCAACCATCTAGCGTCTCGAGCAACTGTTTTGCTCCTACTTTGTAAAACATTAAAATGTTCTTGCCACAAACACTGGGCAAATGGCATTGAAATAAGAATGTTTAAAATAACTGGTATTCATTTTTTTGGAAAAGCAAAAGTCCAAACTAGGGTGCATTATTTATACCAAGACACAGGCAAACAAGAATTATTTATTTACATTTATTTACTATACTTTAATCAATTAGGAAATCAGGATCACTAAGTCCCTGGAGCATTTGAAGTTAAGGGTCCACTGGTGACATCGGTCTGCCATCTACAGGATTTCAACCAATGACCTTCCAATCTCAGGTACAGAATTCTCATCTACAGAGACACACACTTTTATATAAAGTCATGTACATAGATGGTCTAATATTTCAATCAGTGACTCCCAACTAAATCTTATCATAAACTATTTTTAGACCTATAAAAGCATACTATCTTAAGTTGGATCATGCAGGTTGGAACAGGAGATAACCTAGTCCTAGATTAGGAACATCTTCTTTTGCAGCAGGGAGGCTATGTGCTGGTGGCTTCTCGTGCTCTCCGACTGGGCCACTTGCAGTGGTGTTTTATGCACCCTGTTCTTTGCCCGCAGATCCGCTCTGCTGCCCTGTGTCCAACTGGCCAGCTTTTCCGCAGCAGTAAGGTGCCCGCAGCGGCTGGCGCTGTGCAGTGGTGTGTCCTTGTTGCCATCCAACGCGTTAATGTTGGCCCCGCTGGACAGGAGCAGGTCGATGGCCGCAGCCTGCCCGCGCTCTGAGGCCAGGTGGAGAGGCGTCTTCCGCCACACATTCCTGTCGTTCACGTTCTTGTTTTTCCCCGAGGACAGGAGGATGGTCACCACAGCTACCCAGCCTCCGGCCGCTGCGTAGTGTAAAGGAGTGCACCCGTTCATGTCCTTGGCCTTGAAGTGAACCTTGGTGGCCAGCAGAGCCAAAACCACCTCAGCTCTGCCCTCCATGGTAGCTAAGTGTAAGGGCATCCTCTTCTCCTTATCTGCAGTGTTGACGTTGGCACCTGCAGACAGGAGCATGTGTATCACCGAGGGATCTGCCCGGGCCGCAGCCCAGTGCAGTGCCGTCCTCGCTTGACCATCTTGGGCATGAATGTCCACCTTCCCCTTTAACAGCTCGGACACAGACTCAGGGTGACTCTCCTGGCATGCCATGTGCAGGGCCGTGAGTCCCTTTGCTCCAGCAGCGTTGACACGAGCCCCTGCGTGCAGCAGCACCCCTACCAGCGAATGTCTGTTGTGTCGGGCTGCCAGATGCAAGGGTGTGTGTTCCTGAGCCCCAACTACGTTGACATCCAGCCCCCTCTCTAGAAGGAGTTTCGTTATGTTCAGACTGCCACTCTGAACAGCCAGGTGCAGAGCAGAGTTACGGTTGGGCAGCTTCTCCTCAACACTGGCCTTCTTGCATATCAGAGCTCTGGAGGCTTCCTCATTGCCCAGCTCAGCAGCCAGAAGCAGAGGTGTGTACCGAAGCTTGTTGAGAGCGTTGACATCGGCTCCTCTGTCTACCAGAACATCTACGACACCATCGAGGTTCCTTTGCACAGCTTTGAAAAGAGCCGCCTTGAGAGTGCTGGGAGACACTTGCTTGGTGTGCTTCAGAAGAACATTAACCATGGACTGGCCGCCGAGACTAAATGCGGCCTCTACGATGTTCCAGTTCACCTTGGCACCTGCTTCGAGAAGAACTCTGGCAGTTTTCTCAAAGCCTCGGTTAACGGCGTGTAGAAGTGCAGTCTTCCTCTCGTCGTCCTTTGCGTCCACGACAGATCCGCTCTTCAAGAGAGTCTGGACCAAGCTGCAGTCATCCTGCATGGCCGCCATATGCAGGAAAGTCCTCCGGTTTTTAAAGCTCTTTGCCTCCTCTTCCACGATAGCTCTTGCTGCGCTGAGATGACCGTTCCTCACCGCCAACTTGAGAGGCATCTCTGAGTGCTCATCTAGCGCATAGATATCAGCTCCTGCCTTCAAAAGTGCCCGCGTTGTTGGCGTGTGGCCCACCTCGGCTGCCCTGTGCAGTGCCGTCCTGCCCTGGCCGTCCTTCATATTGACTTTAGCCCCTTTGCCGAGGAGGAACTTCACGATGGCGACTTGGCCGTGCCGGGCAGCTACGTGCAGTAATGTCTCCTCCGATGACCTGACATTGTTGACATCCTTGTTCCTTAAGTTCTCCTCCAGCAGGGAAAGCGCTCCTGTTGCGGCTGCATCAAATAAGTTGCCATTTTTATCCCGTCTCACGGCAGCTTCTTCTGGCACCACATCAGCAGCTTTCTGCCTCTCCATTTGTAACGTCGCTTTTTGCAGTGATGGTGCTGCCAGTGCCCCTTTCTGAAGGCTCGCCTCTCTCGTCTTTGCCATGGGATTTTCCTTGTCCCGCTCAAGCAGGTATCCAATCAGCTGCCTGCGGCCATCCCTGACGTTCTCATTAATTTGGCCCACGTAAGTCCTGATGTTGAGGTACAGGTCGGGCTCAGCCTGCTTCAGACAAGGGTAGAAGAAGCACCTACATGCTCGCTCACCTTGGGACACCAGCATGTCCAGCACCTGTGAGTTTCTCTCTTCTCTCGTCCCATAGTGAAGCACCATGACTTTTTTCTCTGCCGGAAGAATGCCGCGGTCAATCAGTAGGTTCACCAGCACTTCTGTGTTGGAAATGCCCTCGATCAGGTCCTTCTTCATCATCTGAACAACTTCGATAGCATAGGGATTAGGGAAAATGTTACCAGCATGCATGCTGGTAGCTTCAGAGAAAATGCTTCACGTCTTTCAGTGACAAAATGATTAGTATCGTATACCTTTCCTAATATGCATACAAATATGTGTGCACCTGTCTGTAACACAGGTTACCGTCTCTATAGCTGTGCTAATGAATAGAACCCGCTTCCTTAAAAACCACCTAACACAAAAACACACCCTCAAGCACCTAATGTCCCCCAGCAACCGTGTAAATACTTATGCCAACTCATTCACGCCCTTGCCTTGTGTTTGTTTTTCAATGTACCCCGTGACTCAGTACAGGATAAATGTTTTGAAAATAGATGAATCTTATTTGTGTTGTTCTTTTTTCAACCTTGTAACTTCTTGCAATTATTCCAGGACACAACTTTGAATATTTTGTGGGAGAGAAACAGTTTGTTTTATTCTCCTTTTCAGGAAAGAAGACTAGAGAATGGTCAGCCACATCTTTATAATGTAATCCAGTATAGAAGTTAAATCCAAATAAAAAGAGGTTAAGAAATTAAAGTGACTTTAGTCTTAATATGAAATATTTAAGTACTTTTTATCATGGAGTTTCAAAGGGGGGCGCTGTTGCCTCACACCTCCAGGGTGAAGGGTTTGAATACCAGCTTTGCCCATGTTGTGTGAATTTACTTCTGTGGTCCAAAGACAGGCAGTTAAGCTAGCATGTACCTGTGTGTGCCCTGTGATGGACTGGCATCCTGTTCAGAGTGTCCCCCAGCCAGGGCCCCCGTGCTGCCTGAGATAGGCTCCAGGCCCCCCCGCGACCTTCTCAAGCATAGAAATTAGAAAATGGATGCAGAGCTGCTTTTCCAAATGAAGGATACATTTTTTCTATATACCTGTTACCTGAATTTAGTTATGAAAAATCACTTCTTTTTTTTTCTCCCCGATTTCAATATTCATTTGGGCTTGAAAGGCCATCTGGAGTACCAGGCTTTCTCCTGGTGGGCTGATGGGTTTGTGTTCTGGACCAGCAAAAATGTTATTGCATGGAGCCCTACAAACACCCCACTCACCCAAGAAGATCTTATAGTGCCCCCCCCCCCCCAACTTGGACCTGGAAGTCCAGGGGCAATTTTTAATCCCAGTCCAGTCGTGATAATGAGGCAGTGCAGGGGCCCTGTTGGTGGCACAGTAGGGTCACACTTCTGTGAACGGGGGTCCGATTCGCTGCCCCCAGTTCTGTATGTGCGGAGTTTGCATGTCCGAGCCCATGTGTGTGTGGGTTGCATTCCAAAAATGCATTTAGGTGAATTTGTGTCTCCACATTGTTCATAATACATGAACGTGTCCCCTGCAATGAACTTAGGCAGACTCCAGAGTCACGGATCACCATACGGGATAAACAGTTATGAAAAATGGCCAGATATTTATTAGAACAGAGCGATAACATCGAAACCTGTGCATGAAATGACCCTGTTTATTTAATTTTAGTTGTGTCATCATTGTTATTTCATGCAATATATTAGTAGTTTTACGCAATTCAGTTTTCAGCAGGTAGTTGATTTTCAAACCAGGCTCCTACACTGAAGATTCATTAATTTACACACTGTGACATACTGTGAGTTGAGCACTAGTGAAACACACATACTTGTGGTTTATCGGTCGAGGGCCGATCAGAAGTGCATTTCCGGGACTGATAATGAATATCAGCTATCAGGACAACACATACTCAGCTACTCTCACCGCTTCATTGCCTTTTGTGGTTAGGAATGTACATTGCAGGAGGTTCTCTCATGTTTGGGAAACCAGATAAAAAAAAACAGTTTAGAAACAAGACGTGTGTCCCTCTGAATATCTTAGGACAGAAGTCGTTCAAGTGTACCATAATGTTTAACTGAGTATGGATTTAGACTTTAAAGTTGGGATTATTATAGTTTCTGTAGGGGAACGTCTCCCTCTAGCGGTGATTAATTTAAAGTCACGTTGCTACTTTTCACCACGTGATTCGGGGTTTTCAAAGATTTACTTTGTCTATAATTATCTGCTGGAATACAACCACTGGCAATAACCAACATGTTCAGATTTAACACAGGGATCATTTCCAAAGAAAGTTTTCACTTTGTTTTTTACCCACTATTATTCTTCCAGAGTGTTGGATCTGAACAGTTTAACTTAAAATGCCCATGCCTGATGTCAATGCTTGGACAGAGAACTTTCAAACTACCTTACTTGTATTGTTCAATTCAAAATTAGTTGCCTCACCTCCCCCTCCCTCTTTAAAACACTTGTTTTAAAATGTGACCATACCTTTTAAATGAAAACAATTATATGAATGCTACCTGACCTGTTACAATATTTGTAAACTATGTACTAGGCTAAGAAACCATCTTTTCTATTCAGGTTGCTCCTATACAGCAGAGTTTTGGGAATCACACCTCAAACATTCTGAAAAGGACACAGTCAGGGATAAGACCATTAGACAAGAGTTAAAATTTTACACTTTATTACAATTCTTAAATATTGATTAGTTTCTGAGGTGCTCAGAACATAAAATTACTGTATTAAAATGGAAAACTGAAATAACTCCAGATTCGCATTATGTACAGGTAACAATGAGTTAAACCCCATTAAACAACTTGAAGAAAAGAAAACTCGAAGCTTCTAACAATTCATTACAATTAAGAAAAGAATTGTCCATTTATAACTCGAGTCGGGCAGCTTTTAAAATCAAAAGCCTTTTACAGGACACGCCTTTGAACTGGCGCAGCGTAACGGGCAGCTAATCTATCGCACTTTAATACTGAATGATCTCCAAGGCTGGGTCCATGCAAGACTTGGTCGAAGAGAAGGTTAAGTCTCATCTTACCACAAAACAGCATGAAACAAAACAGTGAGAATACGTGCCGTTTGTAGCTTTTGTCATGTTTAGGAAAATCCCCCCCACCCATCCTGTCGCGCCGAAACTCCTGGGCGCTGGGACGAGAGGCGATCCCGGTCTGGCCAGTAATGCGCAATATGCTATACTGCCACTTCACTTTAGTCCTTTACTGAGTGTCTTTCTTCAGAAAGTCTGCAGCTGCTGTGTCAACATGAGCTGGCATCCACTGTTGACGTGATTCATGACCTTCTGCTTGAGCTGGGCGACCTGCTCCCGCAGCATGTTCGCCGTGGACGCCAGCTCCGAGTTTTGCGACTTTAGGTTCTTTACTTTGTCCTCCAGCCTTGAGATCCTCTCCAGCTTCCTCTTCCGGCACTTGGAGGCGGCGATCCTGTTTCTCATGCGCTTTCGCTCAGCCTTGATGCGCTCCTGGCTCTCCATGTTGATGGGGGACAGCGGAGGGGTCTCGCCCGGCATCTCGGGCACCGTCTGTGGCTCCTCCTTCAGCGTCTGCAGCCTCGGGTGCTGGACGGGCAGCGTGCTGATGGGGTGCTGGGGCGCCGCAGCTGTGGAATAGCTGAGAGCCGAGTTTGCGCCGCTGTAGCCGGACGCCTGCGCGGCGCTGATGGCCGGGTTGAAGGTGTTCAGGTCAGCATACACAGGTGGGTCGGAGCGCATGGTGGAGCTGTAAGCCGTGCTGCCCGCCACGGAGGAGACGGGTGCCAGAGCGCTGTTGACGCTGGTCTGCGGGGCAGACGTGACACCGGGCATGTGCTGGTGGTGCAGCTCCGCCAGTGCCCTGACGAAGCCCTCGGCGAAGCCCTCCTGTTCGTCCGTCACGTTCTTCGGACAGAGGAACTGAGTCGGGGTCGGGGTGGTGGTGATCAAACCGTTACTGGACTGGATGATGAGCCGCTCCAGCTCCGGGGAGGCTAACTTCAGCAGTCCCACGTCTGGGGAGGTCAGTATGTCATTAGCTTTCGCCCGAAGGTGAGGTTTAAGGCTCCCCGTGGGGTCGGTCAGGTTGAGCGTCATGGTCTGCTTGGACACCCTGTGGTTGTATCCGTAGCCGGGACTGCCGTGCTGAGAGAAGGCGCTGTTCAGAGAGTCGTCGTAAAAAGTAGTTTCCATCTTGTTAGACGCAGAAGAGTGACCAGCGGGACAGCGGTCTTCGGGAATCGGAACTTCTCCAAAAGTTTACAAGTAGCGCTCAATGATTCCTCAAGCTGCCGCGGGACAGTCTCCGCTTCCTGTTGAGAGTTCAGAGTTTAACAGCCGCCTTCGCTGGGATCTTGCGGATCGGGAAAACTGTCGCTACTCCCACTTAATCCAGTTTTAAATGTCGGTTTCGGACAACCGGCCGGGAAGGCGAGTCAGATTTGGAACGCAACGAAAACTTATGTAAAGTTCCCGTGTACCGATCCCTAACCTTCTCAAGCCTGATGTCTCGGAATCAAAATAAGATAGTAATGAAGTTGGTGCTGCGTTTACACACTTTCTCAGACACCAACACTTCCTCTGCAATGATCTATATACTCTGAACTCCAGCGTGGAAGCTAACCTTATCTGCTACTGCTGCCACTCTAAAAATAGCAATGATGTCATGCCTCTTGCTTCTTATTGGCTGGAGCCGACGTACTGGGCGTTCCGCTAAGGTGCGTTTCCTAGACAACCACCCAGAAGATTCTTGTCGTGGTGCCTTATGGGATGAGGTAATGCAGCAAATCCCGGAGCGGTGCATTGTGGGATTACGTATTGTTTTTGAATATCTGGTTACCCGCTTAGCTTCGGACAGTGGCGGGATATTGTGCATGAAAAGAATTAAGTCGCGATAATAAAGGGGCTGTACTGATTACAGTCGAGTGTGTCTAGGGTTTCATCAAGGCATTAAAGAATAAACAGGAACGTGTTTACTGGTTACGTTGTACGAGCAATTTTTTTTAATCGTAGAAATAGTTTAGTAATTCTTCTGTTTCAGTTTTATTATTAAATGCACACAACTATTGAAATATTCTTTTTATATTCTTGTCACGAAACTTTTAATGTGACTTAGTTTTGGATAAGTTGATGCAACTGATTTAACTTCTTTTTGTCCCGTAACATTTGATTTTGGATCAACTCGTTTAAAACCCTATAATTAGGACTTTAGTCATAATTTTGGACGAAGCAATTACTCTAAATGTAAATGTGTAGATGCGGTGTTGCCGTGGTAAAATGAAGTTTGCTTTATGTTTTGGTTCATAAACATACTAGTTAAAGTTACACGCTATTCTGCGCTTCGGCCGTTTGCTTTGAGATCCTCTCAAAAGTGCAAAGACTTTTGAACAAAGATGTCGCTCCTTACCTAGCATTAACCTAGAGTCAGATCCTCTCCAGGAAACTAACTAGTCGGAAAAAACATAAACTGTCATTATTTATACGTATATTATACGCGTAGTGTCTTAATTTAAAATTCATACTTTTTTTTTTTTTTTTACAGAACTTCGTGTTGTCTGAGAAATCTTTGACGAAGAAATACAATCTACTGCATTTAAATACACTTATATTCAGCATTCTCTTTAGACGAAACATTTTAACTTTTACAGTTATGTAAATTGGGAAACACTGGGAATAACAGCGCTATTTTATTCCTTGATTTTGATCTTATACTTTCAGGCACATCGCTTAGCCGAACGTGGACTGGAGCGCTTTTCGTTTTTCCTGCCCTCACTCATCTTTGCCCCAATCCCTGAGGAATTTCAGGCCGTTGCAACAGCCTGCGCCTCGGCCGCCGCTTTCTCAGGAGCAGCCCGTGGGGGGGGGGGGTGCGGGGATGCTGCGAATAAGGTATCGTAGAGGGGGTTCGTGGAGGTCTCTCTCCCGGACCAGGCGTCTGATTGATACGCTGCAAAATGTCTCTTAAAGGCTGAAATCGGCGGTTCCTTAGACATAGCAGAGTAAAACGGCGAAATTGAGTTCCAGTGTCAACTTAAAACATCCCTGACGCAAATTAGTAGCGATGATAAATAGTATGATTGGGTCTTTGTTGCTTATTTATTCAATCGACTTTACTGAAACTGTAAAACGCACTTCCAGACTTTAAATGCTGTAATGGAAGTCGGACTCATTAGGATTTAACACGGTCATGTTTACGAACAGTTATTTCAAATAGATAACATTTTATTGATCGTGTTATTTATTTATTGTGGTTTTCAAAATCCCCACATCATCAGTTTCGATGATGTTTACTAGATAGACCGATGCAGTCATTTCACTTTTTACATGAATATATAACAAGTACTGCTTTTAGTCTGCTCTTCTAGCTACAATACATTTAATCATGTCTGCGCTTAGTCGTTCACGTGGAGTATTTGTCACATTAAGAACCAGACTAAGAAAGCTGTTACATGAATAAAACATAAGCAGGATTGTGCAGTTCTGGCGCACAGCAACAAATTATAATAGACATTAATTCAGATGCTGTTATCTGTTTAATGGAGGTCTGGAGGACTGTCATTACTCTTGAGATCCTCTACGATCTCCATTTTCTTAGACTTATAGTCCAAGTTTGTGTGTGTGTGTGTGTGTGTGTGTGGGGGGGGGGGTGTGGATTCACATGGCTAAGTGCAAATAAGTTCTAAACCACCGTAGTTAATCTTTTGCTGGTACCAGCAGAAAAGTGCTGCTTAATTATTGCGCTGCTTGATCTATAAGTGAAGTGTATCCACTAAAATAACTTGAATCTGTCTTTGTCCTGCATTTCCTCTTTTCTTTAATTAAATTCTCTGCAGTGACATTTATTAAATTCCAGTAGAATGGCAAAGAGAGTTTAGGTATTTACTGCTTAATTAAGTCTGTTTGTACTTGTGCATTAAATGGCATTTAAACCGTAAATAATGCGTTCTCTTGTGTAATTTCTGCCATCACTTCAGACTTACCTCTTGCGTTATTCGGTCTCAGACGATCCCCGCTGGGGAATCCTGTCGCAATAAGGAATTTATTGTCGTTCTGAGGCACGTTGTAAAACGAAACGGTAACCTGAAATAAACACACCGTTCTGAACACACGACCGTCGGGTTCAGGCGAAAACAAAACCCATCAATCAATCGAAAGGGAAACGGGTGTAGCGCGCTGCTATCGGCACGCACTGTGGTAAGAGAAATAAAAATTCCAACAGTTATTTTTCACGGAGGACTAAACAGTGCCTGGCCCTTTGCTGGCGGCTGTTGGCAAATCAGTAGGTGTCAGTCGACCGATTCTTAATGTCACAGGATCCAAGGGCCCCGGGCTGCAGAGCTCTTACATTCGTATCAGTTTTGTAGCATAGATAACTGAGAAATGCGTGTGCATGTTGCATCTTAGATGACCTGATAACGGGAATCTAATTAACCATCCTGTACAAGATCCCCACGTCAGGGCTGTGGAACAGAGGCAGAGTAATTACAAGCCTGTTACAAGTTCAGATTTCCTGTAACCAAGTCTCTGGCCATGGATCCTATTGTAAGCTATAAACAAGTCCCCGGTCCTTTGTGTTTCAGTCCTTAGCTTGCTTATAGAGAATACTTCTTGGAATAGTTTGAGGCGCAGTGGCTCTGTGGGTAGCACCCTGCACCAAAGACTCCAGCATTGGTGGTGTGATTCATGCCCCCCTGCTTTCTCCCTACTCCTTCTGGGTAATCTGTTCTTCTCTTGTAGGCCCAAAATTTGTGGCTAAGTGGATTGGTGTGTCTGGAGAATGAAGAATAATGCTGATAATTACAGGTGGGAACACGAAAAGGGACCACTTGCCCCTCCCTCCATAATTTTCATTTTAATATTTATTTAGCAGGCATTTTATCTAAAATGGGGTGGCACGGTGGTGCAGTGGTTAGCACTGTTGCCTCGCACCTCTGGGACCTGGGTTCGAGTTTCCGCCTGGGTTACATTTGTGTGGAGTTTGCATATTCTCCCCATGTCGTCGTGGGGTTTCCTCCGGGTATGGTGTGTGAGTGTGCCCTGCGATGGGCTGCCCCCCCCATCCAGGGTTGTTCCCTGCCTCATGCCTGTTGCTTCCAGGATAGGCTCCGGACCCCCGCGACCCAGTAGGATAAGCGGGTTGGACAATGGATGGATGGATGGATTTATCTAAAAGGGCATACATTTTTTGAGAGCAAGCAATGTCAGATGATCCCTAGAGCAACTGGGGATTAGGGGGCTTACCAAGAGGTCCAACTGTCTAGTCTATCAGCACTGGGATGGACAGAGTGAGTTGACATGCTGAGAGACACAGTGCCCCCATCAGTCGGCATATATATATTCCAAAGATATATATTCCAAACTGCAGCCTGGGTCTTCTCTGTTTCTCATTAATAAAGGGCTTCTTTCTTGCTTTGTGGGTCTTCAGTCCTGCTTCTAGGAGCCTGATACGAACTGTCCTAGCAGTGCACTTCACACCTGCACTTAATGTTTCCCATTCCTTTTGAAGGTCACTCGATGTCACCCCCTGATTCATGAGAGACTGTCGGATAAGGTAACGGTCATCTCTGGCATTAGAATGTCCCTTCTGCCCTCTGCCTGTCTGGTTTATGGTCGTTCCCAGTGTCTCCTGCTTCATCTTACTCTTGTCTGCTGCTGTCTTAGGAATTTTGAACCTGGAAGCAGTCTGTCTCTGTGTAGCCTTCTGCCGGCACAACTGCGATTAAACCAAGATTTAAAAATGCAGATTTGTTTAAAAATATCGAGTGGTCTCAATTTTTTCCTGGGGGTGGTGTGTGGCTCAGCTGGTTAAGTTTCTGTACGTGTGATCAGAAGGTCACCAGTTCCAGTCCCTGGGTTGGAGGGTATTTTTCCAGTGGGCCCTTGGGCAAGGCGCTTACTCCCCAGTTGTTCCAGGGACTGTGTGACTCTGCTTTCTTGTCACTCTGGATGAAAGCATCTGCTAAACAAATGAAATGAATCCTTGTCCGGATGGGCTGTGAAGCTAGATTAGCGCACATGGCTCCGTACTGCTTCCCTTTGACCCACACAGATTTCAGTTTGTGTTGTTTACTTACGAGAAGCTACCAGAGAACTGAGCCACTTATTTTCTCAAAGAAAGCTGAACATAAACATTTTCATTTTGGAAATAGTAATGTTCTGAGTTATGTTCTGGTTTTGTGTGTGATTGCTATGATAGTTTTTAAAATTATCCCCAAAAAAAGAAAAATATTGGAAGGCACAGCGAGCAGAGATTTTATTGTCATAGTTTCCTCATTAGTGTTTTATTTGCTGTTCCTGTGTTTTTTTGACCACTTGTAATCATAAGTGAAATATAAAAATAACACGGTTAATTGCAAAAGCAGGGAAAATGTCTGAACAATCACAATGAGTGATTTATTAATGATAATAATTTAATCTCTTGGTTCTCAGGTTTCCACGCTAGGGTTCACTTGCGGGTCTGGAGTCGCCGGTATTTTAACTGGCTGTGATGTTCAATCCAGCAGATGTTTTCGCCGCTTTTCTCAAATGTGACTCGTCTTGCGAGTTCTCAGTTCACTTTTTCAGCTCGTATTTTCCTCTCCCATCTGTGGAACCACCTAGATGTGGGAGACATTTAGAGGGCAGTGAAATTCACTCGGGGCCTTTTTGTTAGGCTCTGT